TGTAATGCTGACTTGCAGCAATGGTTTATTATTATGAAACAGAAATGCTAACTGATTTGCTCTCGCTGTGGAAGAAGTAATAAAAAGATACCTCATTGTCATCATGAGCCTGGGATTGTTGGCTGGCGTCCCAACTGTGACGAGGCAGAAGAGGAAAACTGCAGCGTAATACACCATGTTACATGTCTGCTCACAAGAACCCGCTATCGCCTGTCTTGAGAACTCGTCTGTTGCATTGGCTGCGCTACAAGAACATCCAGTGTAGACCTATATTTTGGCGCAACAAATGACATACGAACAATAACAATTGCAATATCTTGCGTTAGTCACAATACTGCAGTGCATAGTACGTGACATACCCGCTTCTTGAGCCACTGCGCTTCAATTTCCTAATCCATTCTCATGTAGTAGAGGTAAATTTCATCCTTGTTGGTATCAGGTGCACACGTAGCTAGATAGGAGTGGTGCCCCCAGTTTACCCAGCAAAATCTAGCATTGTGTGTACCCCTGTAAAAAGTGTTTATTGAGCATGCAGCTCTATGACCAGACATGCATAGGGTCTTTGTCTTTGTCTTTGTCAGCCAAGGGTGCACATGTGTAAGTCTGCTCTGAAGATGTGTAAGACCTGACCCGAGTTCTTGGAGTTATGCAGTAATTGCCCAGCCATATAAGCTGTTTAATTATTTCTGATCCTTGGGCTACTTGAATGTTCTTGTCCTTTTTGAGTGCATTGTAGGAAGGATAGGCCTATGCATTTTAATTGAAGTTTTGAAGGAAGTTTTGTGTTTCTTTGGATAATTGGTATGTTTTACCCTGGGTAGAGAGGGTGGCCTATCCTGGCGAGTCCATTGGAGCTAATTAACATATTATTCCACGACTACTTATCATATCCTACCCCTGAACATGCTGAAAAGCCTGGTTTAGTCATTTTACAGCCAGGGCCTCCCCTAGTGAGAATAAATGCAAAAACCCAGACAGCCTTGAGCCAGCCTCGAGGCAATTCCCATGGGACTGTGTACAAATTGGTCCCTTGTGCACAACCTAATGGGCTGTTTACAAAACGGTGCCTGGGGCAGGCAGGGGAATGTTCTTTATCACTGACAGCTGTCTGGAATTTGTCAGAGGCCTCTGTTGGCTGTCTCTGAAGTGTTATTTTTGTTGGGGGGGTGTGTGGTGGTGGTATGGCTTGGCTGGCGCGTGGCGAGGGCCCCCCTTCAAATCCGGATAGCCTGGGAAAACGGCCCCCCGCGGTACTGTGATGTACTTTTGGTGGGTTTTGGTAGTTTGTAAGATCTGTAGAGGCTATGGGACAACCTCTGAAGCATTAATATACCTTCAGGACGGACTCAGGGTGGACTCAGGGCTCTGCAAACCTGAAAATGCAATGGACTCAACGGAATAGTGCGTCCCTGTAACCGTGTAGGTTTGACCTTGGGAACGCCTCCCAGTTTTTAGAAGTTCACGTGTTTTGAGAGATCAAATCGAATTGTTCCTATTGTTGCTCTTAGATTTCATTTTTTAAGCATTCTTTTAGGAAAGTGTTTCTAACGTGAGGTTGCTTTGCAGACAATGGGTTTTGTGAGTTCATAGTGAGGTCTTGAGATGCTGAAAGTGGAAGGAAGTTAGGAGCTGGAAGTTTTTTTTATGGCTTGATTCAAAGTGACTGGAGATGTATGAACAGATTTAAACTTGCCATGTTATTTTTGACTTTTTTAGTCATGATTTTTTGGCATATGTGTAAACGTTTGTACTTATTATTGCCATGTGGTTGTACATGTATCTTGGACAAGACAATTTTCTTTGTTCACCTTTCCCATGCCTTAACACATGGTTGGAGCATCTTTAGTTAATAACAAGGGATTAGGATTAGTGTGGCCTGCCTTCCAAGAAGTGGCCAAGCCATTTGTTTATTGGATAATGATTATTCATGAGTTTAGCCTAACTACCTGTACATCATGTACATACCCCCATGCTGAAAGTTATGATGGGTATTAAGCTTCCCATGTACATGCACATGTACTAGCCTTCAATGCTTTAATTGCTTAATGCACTGAATTTTTCTTTGTTGTAACATTCATTTATAAGTTTTCCATTTTTCTTTTCTCCACAGGTTGTTGAAATTTGATTAGAATCGATTTGTGCCTTTCCTTGATACTGTGTGGGGTTTTGCTTTGGGTATTTAAAGTTTTTTTAGTACCTGATTCTGTTTCTTTAGACTGATGATTTTACCTGGTCTAACTAATGAAGTTTCAAGAGCACCTCTATGTAAACATGGTTTCTCTGATTTATCTGTTCAAATAAATATAGAAACATCCAAATCAAACACAGTGTCATTTGTCTTTAGAGCTCAACTATAACTACAATGGATGAGCCATTGACCATTGTTGGGCATGCACAAGGGTTTATACGAAAACAAGGTGAGAGCTCCCCTCGTTTTCTCTGTTTTCTTCAAATGACGCAAACAATATTCAGAATTCGCATCCTTGCATGAACAGAAAAAAGTACTTTTTATAGCTTGTTATAGTTGAGCTCTGAAGCCAAATGACACTGCGTTCAAGTTGAATGCTTCCATATTTATTTGAACAGGTAAAATGAGAGAAAACGTGTTTTCCTTAGAGGTGATCTTTAACCAAGTCTTAGGTTTAGGGTCTGAGGAAACTTCCCTTTTGAGGGGGGTGATTTTTTATGATTTTTTAATTTTCGGGTCATATATTGGTTCAACTGTAGTCCCAAAAGAGAGGTTTTCCTCAAGTTCACAGTTGGCTAATAAGTTATTTAACAGATTGGTTCTCGGTTGTTCACTGAAGTAGTTCTTTCTTTTCACATTTTGTTTTTCCTGAGATCAAAGACTTTTCTGTCCTGTCTCATTTGTTTAGAAGGACCTGGCGATTTGTCCTAAGTTGACCCCTATTTAGGGAATATTTTTATAGATTCTTCCCAGAGTTTTCTTTTTCATCAGTGTTCCATTTTTCCAGGTTACACTCACTTTGAGGTGAATTCCTCAGAACTGTGTACGAGGGAAGAGTGTAACTTATGGGCTCCATGTTATTTGGTGTGTCTCATGCACCCAGCCTCAAGTAATGTATTCTTCGGTTGTTATCCGTAGCAAATCCCGTTACCACAACTGTTCATGTTTGAGGTCAAGCTCCCAGCCTTCTGAATACAACTGACAACCAGGTCATAATTTGATAGGGCCTATCAGGTTATCAATTGTATAGGTCAACCCTCCAGCTCAGACTGGTTTCACTAGCACACTTTACACTATGCATTTCAGGCGAGGCCTAGAAACCGTCAGTGCCTATGAAAGAAGGCTTACAATTCGCCTAAAATGTAACACGCATAGTTTAATACTATATACAGTCTATACCGCATGGGTGGAGAATAATACAGTACAATCAAAATGGTCTATAATTACTGTAAGAATTGCAAAGGGTTTATTTTCCGTTTATATCCTTGCAACCAGTAGAGTATTTATACTTTAAAACCCCAGTTTAATTTTTTTCACGATACCTGTAACATCAAACCAGTGCTTCTCTGAAATCATTAATTTTCTTTCAATAGGTTAGATACAGATGAAAAAGGCCGCAGTTGAAACCAGAAAGTAGTTGCTTTCTTACCGTGAGATTGACATTGGGGTCGTCTGTCTGATTTTCTTGCTTCCCAGTGCAGCCAGCAAAACACGGTGTGGCGTATACCAGTCCGTCATGGCCACAAACTGGTTCATATCGCCCGGTGGAGCATTTGCAATCTTCGTTGCACGGGTTGGTTGTGCTACGCGAATGAAAGATAATGGACTAATTGGAGTAAATTTCCTTTAATATAGTAAACCTCTCGGTACACGTCTTTGTCTAACACGAATATCTCAACTCATTCATTGACAGGCTGAGCTACATCTCGGTGTTCGTCTGCCACTGAGACGTGGAGACGTGCTGACAACAGACGCCCTTTCTCGATCAGCTTGTGTTGGTTACGTACACAAAAGGGCCAATAACAAGTTTCGACTTGTTTGTACGCTTTTGGCTATTCTACCTTTCTAGCAGTCTGAGCCATCTTGTTCTCCAGGACTTCGAGTGACAATGCCAGCAAGCGGTACTACTTGGAGAGCGCACGTAAATATTACGTTACGTTACGTTGACTTCAGAATGAGACATGTTTACGCAATGGTTTGACCACTCTCTCACCTGATTACCCCGTTCATATTGCCGGCGTAAGTTGGTTCAGGACATGAAAGGAAGTATACGACTGGTATGAAGCACATGCCTATCACACCCAGTATCACAACAACCTTGCCGCATCCTTTGGAATCCAAGTTGAGCTTCTTGACCAGAAATCCACCAACAATGTTGCCAAGGAAGGCCCCAGGCGTAATGATAATACCTTTGAGAGGGGAAGGACATGAGGACATCAGATTGAAGTTTTTATGTCCATACATCAAATGGTTTACATCCTCAGTGACAACGAATGGTTAATGGTATTCTGTCAGTCGACATAAAATTCAGAGAACTAGTCATTGCTACTTGTCTTAGATTCTTACTCCAAACTTTGCTGGTTAGTGACCTCCTCGCTCTAATAACCGAACATGTATTGAAATATTTGATACAGTTCTTAACGGTTCCGACATGTATAACTTTAGTATTACTGGGACAACATGGGTTGATGGCAACATACCAACGAATAAGGAAGACTGAGCTGCCGGTATGTTGAATTGAATCTGGAGAAATTTTGCCAGGAAGAACCCGAAGGAAGCAGCTATCGCCAGATCGAAGATACTTCCTACCAACAGCGCCATGAACACGAAGTTAGTGACGAGTCGTTTGGATGCCATAAGAAAATCTAGCGAGAATTGAGGGAGAAAAGGTTTCTAAGGATTGAGAGTATACAAGAGTGAACAGGTAATCTAATTTTTTTTATGAACTGGAAATCTTGCTTTACGATCTTGTCGTTTCGAGTGCTCAAAACATACTAGGCAATTTAACCCTCAATTTAACCTTAAGCCTCACCTTTGGCAGAGATTTTATTATCGCCTTTTCCTTCCAAGGCTAACTTCTCCTTTGGGATGTCTTCCTCTTTTATTTCCACATCCATCTCCTTCGGGAAGAAGAAGAAAGGAATGGAAAGGATCAACATGATGACTGAGGTCACGATGAAACCCATCCACCATGCGCCCAGCCACTCCTTGGTGCCGTCGTACTGCTGCGGCCAGTCGACGAACAAGCTTAGGAACAGGAAACCCTCTCCATACCCGACCAGGGTAGCGCTTGTACCAGCCGTAAAGAAAACAGCTGAGAGAAGTGGGAAAGAACAGGAAATTAGTTTATTTCCCCGAGAAGCTACTATTTTTTCTTGCAGTCTCTCCATTTTCCTGAGTCAATGGTAAATTTGACATACGTTTACCGCTGTATGGTCATCTATATCAGGACTCACCGATGTAGTAGGGTGTGGTTGTCCCTTTAACTTGATCATCAATATAGGTCAGAGCAATCGGAAACAGTGGTCCGTAGGCCAGGCCCATGAGAGCTTGACCCAGCAATAAAGCCCACATCTCATGAATCCTGGAGCCAGATTGACTGATGTCGTCAGCAGAACATGTTTCATCCTCTCTCGTCGCGTCACAAACAAATACGCTGGAACTGGATCCAAAAGAGAGAGAAAAGAAATAGTATTTGTATATTAAAGATGGTTTGGAATCGCACAACTTGCCGTAATGAGAAGTACACATACCGGTATTTGACACCTAACTGGTCACCTGGACGTACACGTAATGAGAAAGTACAAGCACGTGTCTTTAACGATATGTTTGCAACAGAAGAAATGTTGTACTACATACAGTATATATGCAATAGATCTGCTGCTTACCCTGTGCTGTTGCCACTTGGCAGGGTGTCTCCATCTCTGTAAGCCGGATATAAGAAGTGCGGGACCCCGCTCAAGAACCCACCGACTGCCGTCATTACCCCTAGCACGCCGACGATGCGTGGCCTGTGCCATGTGTCGCCGACATACGACACCAAAGGGATCGAGACGAGACTGGCGAAGTCACTGGTGGAGAGCACCAATCCAGCTACCGAGGTGGTTATCCGGTACTGCTTCTCCAAGGTGGTGAGGACGCCAGCAATGTACAGCCCCACGGTCACTTGGAAGCAGGTGAAAAGGGCAAAGCACAAGCCGAAAGCCCACGGACGACTGAAGAAATTTAAGCCCATTTTTTCAGATGAAGTTACCAGAAAAAGCAGATTTGTAGCTTGGTCAGGGTCTGCTTAGTCCAAATGGAAAATGAAATTGTCAGCAATCTTACGGCTTCATAATTATTCACATCATGCGCTAAAAGAAAGTACGAAATGTTACCATGCTAGAGACTGTCAAAGTATCAGGTGATAGAATGCATGTATCAGACGTCGTAGTGATTAATGTTCAGTTGTGTTGAAGACGAATTCTACAGTGGTTGTGAAATCCGCTATAAAAAACCATGCGACTTGATGAACATGTAGGCTACACAATTTGGCCTCTGATTGGTGGCCGATGTTTGACTTGTAAGTCACGGGATGCGCAGTCTATTCGACGCATCATTTTTTTTATTAAACAAATTGGTCACTGTCGAAGACATGACAAGCTGCCAGCAACATGAATGTCTTTTCATTGCTGACGCTAGGTGCAGAAAGTGTGATTTTCATGCTGACCCTCCCAGCAGTCAGCAGGGAGCTGTCTATCATTTATAACTACGATATTTTCTATTGGAAGACTTTAAACTTTACAAAATGCTTTAATGTCAACACATTCAATAGTCACAGTAGGGTCAAACTATCCTGTCTGACCTTCCCGTCAGATAGGACGTGCTCGTTAAGTGGGCCTTCAGGCATGTTTGTGAGATGACTCCCTCAAACTACTACTATCCAAAAGTAATGGCCGCAAGTCTTTCTACTTGTACCACTCAAGTGTTCCTGTTCAGACACCAACAATAATCACTCTGTTGATGTGATCTTTCTGATTGCATATTTTAAATTCAGTGTGATTATTCTTGGATTGGGCCTGTAACCTTCTAAAATGACAAATTGTTTCCCTGCCTGCTCTGATTTCAAAACTAGTAGCTTGAAACTGCTTTCTGTCACAGAATGGAAGGAATACGTTAGCTATTAAGTGGGTTCGTGACATTCATTTTATTGGGAACATATGTTTTTGCAACTCTATACTCCTCTGCCCTGAAAGAAAACCTCTGATCCCTTTCTCGTTACTCTCACTGAAAAATGCACGATAACATTCAGGAATTTCCGTGCCTTTCCATAAAAAATGGGGCACAGTGACTGCGATGTCATTGCAGGAAGACAATATTAATTTTGAAGATTTCCTTTTAAAATTGTAACCCCCCAAATGGCTGACTGAAAGTGTTGGTGAGAAAAGTTTTGCTTCTGTCGTAAACTGAAACACCAACAAATCATAAAAGTAAGCCAATTTTCGGCGAAATTGTTATCCTTGAATGGCTCAGACACTGTAGATTTTGTCCCATGGTTTTTTTTTGTGCGTAAATGAGCAAATTCACATTAGCGTGTAAATGAGAAAGTGCTAGTCCCTGAAAATCGAGTTCAGACAACATGCAGTTACAAGAACTGCACTGCATTAAAATCAATTGCAATGGTCCTTAAGAAAAATACTGCAATTACGTACTATGGAGTGAAGGGGCAGAAGTGTCCATACTGCATTAACCTCAAACAAAGGTAACAGGTTTGCGATACCACCATCACATCAAGCCCAACCTTCACTCAGAGGAATCTTTTACCCAGCACATTTTTAATCTGAGATAACGAATCCTGTCCCTATACAAGACGAAAGGAACACAAGGTTACACAAGGTCCGCAGTTTTCACGCTTAGAAGAGATCATCCCACTCTCCGCCATCTTGACCAGTCGACAGCAAATGAGATCTGCCTGCAAATAAACCTCGCCATGACCATGTATGACTACAAGGTGGCACATGAGCTCAATTCCGACTGCTAATATTTACTTTTGGAAGACCCTACACCTTTCTTTGAAAGGAAGCTGCAACACAAGCTTCTCACTTGCGTCAACTCATCTAGCTTCTGCTGGCGGGATGAATTCTATGCAGCTACTAATCTTGTAGTCGTACAAGGATTGTGCACCGCATTGGAAGAAGTATGGATTTCTTGGCTGACTCGCTTAGACATGGAAAATTTAAAAAAGGGGGTTGGGGTGATGGCATGTAACAATGTATTGGGAATAATGCTTTCGATACCGATTTAAATCTGCAAAATGAATTACATTAATGCAGAATCTTACATCTAATCCATTTTTATAATTGTCCTCGTTATTTGACTGCGTTTTGGTTCCAATATTTGTCACAATTTACTTCAATTTTTTATATCATGAACACAGATGGCTGCCTTGGGCAAAATAAACTGGGCACCAACGTGTTCATCTAGGGTTTAGGGTATCTGTAGGAAGGACTGATCCAAGTCTAGAGAGCTCAGATTTTTGCAGTTTTCACTTTTCAACGTAGGGTCCCTTGGACATCTGCCGCTCGTATTGGTGTTCTGCAGTGTCACCGTGGCTAAAGTTATTCCACTTTATTTTCGGCAAAGTAAGCGAATGGTTTCTCGCATCATTGAGCACTTTCAAGAAATGAAGACCTCTGTAGAATTGGACTACATCCTCGGTGCATTAAAAACTACTAAAGATTGCACACAATGTGCATTTTTGAAAACTATGAATATTGCAACTTCGCCATCGGTTTTTTGTAATAGAGGTATCTGGCATTTTGGCATGTAAAATGCGCAGAAAAATGGGATCACTTGGCACCTTAGCAATAACTGACGAGATAAAAGTTTTAGTGAGGCAAAGGAACTGGAAGGAAATGAAAAGGAAAGTAAAGGAAAAAGTAAGGATTGAGTAATTTTTTGTGTCCATGAAGTGCTTGAAATAATTGAAATGTCTTCCAGGAAAAATACTTTGTAACCTGCATCATCAGTGGTCATAATTTGACATAAGTTGAAGGCCATGACCGACATTTCACGCGATTTCTTCATGCCAGACTCCAGGATCATTACAAAGGATATCTCTTTACTCAGAGAAACAAGAACGAAGATATCAGAATAGTAACTTTTATTTTTCATCGAAAATACTTCTGTATATGCACCCCAGGTGACACAGTGAGCTATTCAGAGGATCTTGACTCGAATAATACTGATACTTCATACTTATTCCTATGCAGTATTCTATGGCAACCGTTTGTGTCAGGATAAAAAGAAACACTTGAAGGAGTCACCACGCGCTCGTTTGAACCAGAAATTTGACCTATTTTATAAAGGTTTACAGCTCAAGCAACGATCTCAAAAGTTGTGTTTTACAAGGACAAAAACCATTTTGACGAAGTTGCACCTCACATTGGTGAGGCAAAATGGGTAAATTGCATTGCGAAAACTAAAGAAGTGATTCTTCTTTCAACAAACAAGGAATGAAATGCAGTGAACTTAGCTATATGTCAATTTCAAGAACAGCGGTCGAGACTCTGCTACTCAAATATGCTAATGTTACTAAAAACGGGCCAAATTGATCCAACGTAAGATTTATAACTGATGGAATATTGATAATAAAAAAATTCAAATTTAATTAATAGTTTGAGTTTCGAATATTATTTCAAAAAGCTGACCGGAAAATATATGCTTGAATAATAAGTGTAAAATAAATGTACATAAAAGAAACGACACATCTTCAAGTTCTAAGTCATTCAACAAACGACATAAACGTAACTTTCTCTCACATATTGAACTGCATATTGAAATTAAAGAGACTGTTATAGAAACACCCAATATATAAACATTCTCACTTCAAGAAAGAAGCCTAATGCCAAAATATACGTGTGAATAAAGAATTCGAATCAGTTGTGTTAAAGAATATATAATACTCTACAATGTTCCAAGCTATTTATAAAAGGAGAAAAAGTGATTTTCAACCGAAGGAAAAGGTTCTTCAGGTATTGTTCGACAGAGTTTATTAAAAAATAACAAAGAAGGCTAAAAGGATCAAAAAGAATTAAGCATTTTTCTCTGAAGAACCTCTGGATATTTGGTCCCATTTTGATCCAAAATTGCTGAAGTGGTTTGAGTTTGGAGTTAAACTACAAGACAATCATTTACAAGAGTTGGCGATCACCAATTATCTTTCACGTTCATACGTGGGGTGGTGGTACCCTACGGTGGTGGGGTACGCCTAAGTTTTAAGTTAGGGACTGCATCCCTCCGGTGTTTAAAATACTTCAAATAAATCAAGAATTGGCACAAGGAATTGTTCTCACTGTATATTACAGTTGATGTATTTCTATTTGAAATCAAGTTAAGAAATTTAGGATTGCCCCTTTATTAAAATTGAGAAAATTTACACAGTTGTGGACACTAATAAACGGAGTTGACAATGATATGGATTGATTGACCAGTAACGGAAAAAGAAGCTTATGCTGTGTAATTGCAAGAACAAAACGTTTAGTCATAAGACATGGCAGAGCCAGTGGGCAAAGGGATAAAAGGATAATTAAAGGATAGACGAAAAGATAAAAGGGCAAAAGGGCACTGTGCAACCTGCTCTCTCCACAGAGTTCAGCTGTGTAAAGAACACAGAATGAAACGATTCAAGGACATGTAATATTCGTTGAGTGCAACATGAAACAGTCGTTATGCTTCGTGCATGTGCACAAGTCACATGGCCAAACTTTCCACAAAACTTTCACGACAACGGAACTAACAAAATCAGTCCGAATGACGAATTTTTGACCTGGCTTGGAGCCCACACCTGAGCCCACATGTGAAAAGGCCAGAACTGTGCATAACGATAAACGAACGATAAGAGTTGCAAAAAGTTTATGACAAAAGTGAACTTACCTTCTGACAGAACAAACTCCTGCTAGAGTGTGGCGGATTGTCACATACGCCTAGGCGAAGTACGTCGCGTAAGCGTACAAGAATACGTCCATTTCTGGTACGAACTAATAGACTAAAACCTGTTGTTGTAGACTAATATTGATGAGGATACGATTAATTTATGATTTTGACCATTAACAACCACTTGGGCGACTCTACACAGAAAATACAACAAATAATGTTGGGACTATGTTGAACGAGTAGGAACACTCGAGGTTTTATGGCGAAGTGCGTGGTGTGGAAACCTGAGAGAACCCTAAACTTGACAAAGTCTGACCACCACAGAAACATTGCAACGGTGAACCATGAAAAAAGAAAGAAAAAGGATGTGAGTGACTCTCCCTTTTTTAGTGAAGGTTGTGTACAGGTGCGTTTGTAATCGCCCAAGCGCGTGCAGCATTTTTATAAAGAGTGGGATGTACGCGCTCCCTATTAGGATTAGGCGGACTTTTTAGAGACAATGCTGGACAAATCTCGTTGTAACATGCCTCCCCGCTCGCCCCTGTCAATGTTGTTTTTCACTGGGTAAGCTGGGCCGAATCTGGTCCAATAAATGACCGCAACATTAAATGGGTCAGAGGGGGGATTTCTTCATCGTGCTTCCCACAAGGTGTTCCGACTATTTTGTCCAGGATTGTAGCTTCTGCTGGCGGGATAAATTCTATGCAGCCCCCAGAAGATCAGAATCTGCTAACCTTGTACAAGGATGGCCAAATCCATAACACAGGCCAGGTGTAGACAGGATCCTCTGTCAATGTGACAAAGGACAAGCACAAACCCATGGCAGGAAACGAGACTTTGAGAAGTCATCCATTATTAAGCACTCCCACACCAGATCACAAGTCGTACTCAACACAAGCACTGAACATTCATAACTCGCCGCATCATGGTGGACGTCGAAATCATTGAGCAAAACATAGTTCTCCAAGACACTGGGTTAATTGTCAGCGACTTCTAACGCCCCATCTTCGGATCCCTGTCCAATCTGTCCCCCATACCCTAGAATTATCTAGCTTCCCAGACTTAAGTACCCTTCAGTTGGATCCTGAGGTTGATCCTGGGTTAACATCCTCTGCACGCCGAACCGAAACCAGACACCATTGGCCGCTTCACCTTTGGAATCCTGGCAGTCTCTTGACGACGGAGAAAGCACACTACAAAAACGTAGAAAGAAAAGAGATTAATAAAATTCTTAAGGTACCTTCTGGTCCCCATCAAAACCACAAATGCACACAAAGAGCTAATTTTTATGCTGCTACCGTAAACCTATTACCTCTGTTTGCCACCTTCACTGTGAAAACTTCTAATTTCATTTGCACAAACCTCGCAATTGATTGTGGCTTCACACAAGAGCCAGGTTATTTTGACCCATCTCACAGCCGGGGACAGGGGCTTACTTCGCTCCCAAGAACTCACCTGTACCTTGCTCGATTGAAAACTTGGCATGCATGTCTAGACACTCCTTATGATTGTAAATTTGAAGTTGTAAGTTAATCAGTCGTATATTTTTTATGTTACAGTTATTCAAAGATCAGGGCTCCCTGTGTGCCAGCCCCCTTGCGCACCGCAGTGGAAAATTGTACATTTTTTGGCTGACTTGCAGGCCATGAAAAATTTAAAAAGGGCGTTGGGGATGACGTTATGTAACGTTGTATTTGGGATTAGGCTTATAATACCGATATACATATGCAAAAAGAATTACATGCAGAATCTTAGACCAGAATGGCATATTCATGTTTTGCTTTTTATCCTGGTTGTCTTAACTGCGTTGAAATACGTTTTGGTCCAAACATTTGTCACAATCCACTTACTTTTTTATACCATGAAAAAAGATGGCATCCGCTTGTTTATCTAGGTTTAGGGTATCAATAGGAAGGACTGGTCCAAGTATATAAAGAGAGCTCAAGTTTTGTTTTGTGGTCTTGGGGCAACCCCTGCCTCTCGTATCGCTGTTCTGAAGTGTCACCGTGTCTAAATTAAAGTTATTAACGGCAAAGTAAAAAAACGGTTTGTTGCATCCTTCATTACTTTCAGTAAAGTGTAGATCTCCGTAGAATTGGTCTACATCCACAATGCCTTAAAAAACTACTAAAGATTGCACACCATGGGCATTTGTAAAACTACGAATATTGCAACTTCGTGACCTGTATTTTAATAGAGGTATCACGCATTTAGGCATGTACATTGCGCAGAAAAATGGGATCACTAGGCACCTTAGCGATAACTGGCAAGATAAAAGTTTTAGTGACGAAAAGGAAAAGAAAGGAAATAGTTGAAATATCTTTTGGGAAAAACGCTTTATGTACTGCATCATTGGTGGTCATAATTTGACATACGTTGGAGTCAATATCCAACATTTCACTAGATTTCTTCATTCCAGACTCTAGCATCATTACGAAGGATATCTGTTACTCAGAGTGACAAAAACGAAGATATCAAAATAAAAAAAGCGTTTACTTTTCATCGAAAGTACTTCTGTATGTGGGGCCCGGATGACACAGTGAACTAGATACGGTGATTCTCGACTCAAGTAATACTAATTCATTTGCATTATTCTGAAGGAACCATTTTTGCGAAGTTGTACCTCTCATTAGTCAGGCAAAATTAGTAAATTGCATTGGCAAAACTAAAGAAGTGATTCTTCTTTCAAGAAACAAGAAATGAAAAGCCTTGAACTTAGTTTTTTATGTCAATTTCAAGAACAGTGGTCGAGACTCTACTACTCAAATATAGTAATGACCAAATTGATTCGACGTAAGATTTATAACTGCAGGTACGGTGATCATAGTAAAATTCAAATTTACAATTCAAGTTTCGAATATTATTTCAAAAAGCTGACCGGAAAATATATGCTTGAATAATAATGTGTCAAATAAATGTACATAAAAGAAACGACAAATCTTCAATTTCAAGCTCATACAATAAACGACGTAAACGTAACTTTCTCTTACATATTGAATTGCATATTGAAATTTAAGAGACTATTACATTAGAAACACCCAATATATAGACATTCTCACTTAAAGAAAGAAGCCTAATGCCGGAATATACGTGTAAATATAGAATTCGAATCAGCTGTGTTAAAGAAAATAAAACACCTTTATGTGCCCAATTATTTTAGAAAAAGAAAAAGTGAAGTTGAACGAAAGGAAAAGGCTCGACAGAGTTAATTAAAAAAAATGACGAAGAAGGCCCAAAAGATTGTAAAAGAATTAAGCATTTTTCCAGGAAGAAGCTCTGGATATTTGGTCCCATTTTGATCCAAAGTTACTAAAGTGGCTCGAGTTTGGATTCAAACTACAAGACCATGAATGGGTTGAGTAATATTTGACGGAGTTGGCGGTCACCAATTATCTAATTATTGTGTATACAGAGCTCGTGATTAAGGAAATATGTTTTGTGAGAGGCCGAATCATCAATATTTGTTATTTTCGGGTTGAGCTTCAATTGTAAAACGTCATTCAGGTATCTGTGAGCTCCCTGACTCTTAGAAAAAAAAATCATCTTTCATATAGAAGGTAAGGTTAATTTTGAAGGCAGTTCCTTATCCAATTCCAGATTTATTTCTACATAGGTATACATTATACACAAGGAGGTAAACATTCGATACATAATGCCCTGCTACCGGTCTCAAGCAACATTTTCTAAATAACGGTCATTTCTCATTTTATTGGTCGCGTTTAGCATGGCTGTGTTTTTCGTCGTGGTTTTGGAGATACGAGTGATGATTTTTGCTTCAATAACATTTGGGTCACTCGTTTGAAAACCACCAATGCTTTTTGACAGCTTTACCAGACTTTGAAACCTAACGTTTTGCAGAGCTAAAGTTTTCTTTGTTATTTGTGACCCACCATCCCCAAACCAGGCTGAAGTCAGTATTTGTGATACTGGACAATTCCTCTTCTTCAAGTTTTTTCACTTTAAAGTGATCCACGTTAAATCAAAATTCTGTCTGCAGTAAACTTCGTATGGGTAGTGATAGCTTCAAAACTCCCCTGTAAATCTGAACAGTGGAAGTTCCACTACTTTAGGGTTATGACGTTACCTACTTCAGCCTGGTTTGGGCATGGTGGGTGACATTTTGCTTCTTTTACAAGAATTTCATTTCGTGCCATATGGTTATACGACTTGTCCATTTGTTTTCAAAAACGCAGTCCTTTTTTAAACCAGTCTTTTCAGTTGGTCTAATTCCTTATCGTTTTGCTGGTTATGTGATGTTCATTTGGGAATACACCTCTAAACCAGTAGGGGAAACTGTATTATCGCCAAGATTTATTTCCATTTTAGGTTTAGGCACACGGAATGTCGTTGATTGGCCTGGGCAGGGGTCACTGTTGTAAAAGCTTCCTTCGAGCAGGCTGATAAGCTGACGGGTCACGATTGCCTCACAGACTGGTGAAATCGGTCTGGGTCCCCACCTCGCAGTCGATCTCGTAGCCTTTGTTGTCGTGTCCGTTGAGGCCGTTCTGCATAGCTCCGTCCTGAATCGAGAACAAAATAAGACTCGTTAATACGCTGACTCCAGTTTAGTATTGTATGATTGGAAAGGCAGTGCCAAAAATGGTGTCATTATTTTAATGGTTTGGATGGAAGAACACAAACATTTGCAAGAGACTGCATGTAAAGGATGTAGGCTGACCCTTGATTAAACATCCGTTAGAATATTTTAGAGAGAACTGAGCAAATTGTTGGATATAGGCCTACCTTTAATGTTTGTAAATATATCTACAAAATTTAATGGCAGTGCTTCCTATAAAGAAAGATTGGTCTATTTTATACATTGAATAAGAAAAGAAATGATTGAGTTTGTATATTTTTGTACATTAAAAGAACTTTTAAACTATAAAGATTACATATATATAACATGCTTAAATGAAAATTAAATTACCTAAACTCAAGACAGTCACTACATCTCACCTTAAGTTCTTCTGCATGGTCTTCCCGTTCTTTTTCCTTCCGGGCATTTCTGAACACTCCCACCGTGGCGGCGACGTAGCATATCCACGATCCAACCTGATGAATGATACATCAGTCAAGTGATGAGGTTTCTTGTTGGTTCGATCTATATGATTCAGTTAACATCTAATATCGCTCAACTCAGAGCTAATGTGGCCTCTAAGGTTAAGTCAAAGGTCAGGTGTTTCTGATAGAGGACCCCTTTGAAGGGGAGGGCTAGGAAAGTTATTATAAGCTGATTGATTTGATAAAATGTAATTTCTATAAAGATTTGGCCAGTTAGGCTCTCCAAAAGCCAAGTTTGAAAAAAATTAAATGGTTAATTTGTTGAACTCTTTTTTAATTTTGTAAATTTTTTTACTTTCATGCTGAAGAAAATTCCGAGGAAGGTTATGCGGAAGAGCTGAGCGTTGTAGATGAGGCAATCACCAGTGACGCCACACTCGATTCGATCTAGAATACAGGCGCCTTCGATCGCAGCACCAAAGTACAGCGGAGCTGGTAGGAACCCTGAAGCAAACAGGTGAGAAAAGTTCCAAACGCTGTCAATGGACGTACATTACATAAAATGCATTTCAACTGGAAGCTTTGCAGGGACAGTGACCTGTTCAACGGGATTCCTGGCTTTTGCTGTGACACGTTTTTAATCGTGAACCTTGTAAAAGTTATTGACCACAGTAATCACGATTTGGACTCTCCAAAGTGTGGTCTTGTTGACTGTATTGCCCATGAAGCCACGGGCGAGCTGTTACGGGGAACAGTCAAGGCTAACAGCGACACTGGTAAAGGCCAGGCGCTCAAACCTTACACTGCAGAAGGCGCTTGGAGTAATCTTCATCTGCACCCACTTTTTAAAAATACTTTCACCTTTGACATGCACAAACGTTGTACTGAAATTTTTAGGAATGTGTTTAAATGCTAAGTTGATCTCACAAATCTTTTAGATTAGTGTACCACGGAAAAAAAACATTTAAAATTTAAATACATTCTTAAATGCCTTGCGGGAAACAGGCTGTGTATTAAATGTGTTAAAATGTGGGTACACAATATAATGTTTAAGCTCTAGACGCTGTTTTGGGGAGTGTGCATGACACCAAAACAATATGAACACGAAACCCACACAAGATAATCAAACTCGAAGAATTTTACCTAAAGCTCGACCAAACAGAGACTGTATTCCGAGAGCGTAGGTCTTATCGTCTCCAACACTCCTGTTGAAATGAAATGGGAAGTGCACTCTGGTAGTAGTTTCACACTAAATCGTACGCGCCAAGCGGCAAAGAACGGTTGAATGCATTACTGATTTGCTGCAATGGTTTATATGAAATACGGATGCTAACTGAATTTTCTCTCGCTGTGGAAGAAGAAATAATAAAAAAGATACCTCATTGTCATCATAAGCAAGGGATTCTTGGCAGGCGTCCCAAATATGACACAGCAGAAGAGGAAAACTGCAGCGTAATACACCATGTTACATGTCTGCTCACAAGAACCCGCTACCGCCTGTTTTGAGAAATCATCCGTTGAATTGGCTGAGCTACAAGAACATCCAGTGTAGACCTATATTTTGGTGTGAGAAATGACGTACGATCAATATCGCCATATCTTGCTTGATCGTTATCCCCAATACTACAGTGCACAGTACGTGACAGAGCCGATTCTTGAGCCACAGTGCTTTAAGTTCATAATCCATGCTCACTTTGAGGTGAATGCCGTTGAGCTACGTACGAGGGAAGAGTGTTACTTAAAATGGGCTTCATGTTATTTGGTGTGTCTCACGCACCCAGTGACAATCAGGTGATAATTTGATATCAGGTTATCAGTTGAGCGGGTCTACCCCGCAGCTCTCACTGGTTTCACAAGCACACTTTATACGATCTCAATGCATCTCAGGCGAGGCCTAGAAACCATCACCTCTTACACGAATGAAGGGTTAAAAGTCGCCTAAAATCTAAACACGCATATAGTTTAATATTATTTATATGCCTGCTGTGTTGGTGGACTATAATACAGTACAATCGAATTAGTTTAGAACTGCGGTAAGGACTAGTAGTGTATTTATACGTCAAACCCCCTTCATTGTTATCGTCGATCTGATAATATAAAATCAAACCCAGTGCTTCTTTGAAATAATTATTTTTGTTTCAATAGGTCAGTTAGAGATAAAAAAGGACGCAGTTGAAACGGGAGAGTAGTTGCTTTCTTACCGTGAGATTGACATTGGGGTCGTCTGTCTGATTTTCCTGCTTGCCAGTACAGCCAGCGAAACACGGTGTGGCGTATACCAGTCCGTCATGGCCACAAACTGGTTCATATCGCCCGGCGGAGCATTTGCAATCTTCGTTGCACGGGTTGGTTGTGCTGTGCAGATGAAAGATAATGGATTAAGTACAATAAATTTCGTTTAATATAGGAAATCTTGTCGGTACGTGTCTTTGTCAAAAATGAATACCTCAACTCATTCATTGACAGGAGAAGTCTAAATCTTCTTGCTAGTTCTACATCTTGGTGTTCACCTGTCGCAGATACGTGAAGACGTGCTGACAAAAGACGTTGCCCTTTTTCGAGCAGCTTGTGTTCACAAGAGATCATAAATATGCTCGTTTCCAGTTTCTGTATACGCCTTTGGCTATTCTACCTTTCTAGCAGTCTGAGCCATCTTGTTCTCCAGGACTTCGAGTGGCAATGCCAGCAAGCGGTACTACTTGGAGAGCGCACGTAAGTATTACGTTAGCTGCTCTGACTTCAGAATGAGACATGTTTAAGCAGTGGTTTGACCATTCTCTCACCTGATTACCCCGTTCATATTGCCGGCGTAAGTTGGTTCAGGACATGAAAGGAAGTATACGACTGGTATGCAGCACATAACTATCACACCGAGTGTCAGAACAACCTTGCCGCAGCCTTTGGAATCCAAGTTGAGCTTCTTGACCAGAAATCCACCAACAATGTTGCCAAGGAAGGCCCCAGGCGTAATGATAATACCTTTGAGAGGGGAAGGACACGAGGACGTCAGATTGAAGTTTTTATGTCCATACATCAAATGGTTTACATCCTCAGTGACAACGAATGGTTAATGGTATTCTGTCAGTTGACATAAAATTCAGAGAACTAGTCATTGTTGTCTTAGATGTTTACCCCAAACTTTGCTGTTTAGTGACCTCCTGGATAGTTCGCTTTAATAACCTAGCAGTTGTCTGAATTTTTTTTTGCACATGCATTGAAATGTTTGAATAACATTATAAAATGGACTGGGAATAACTGCATGTATAACTTGCAGTTATTCCCAGTCCATTTTATAATGAGTGTCTTTCTCAATCTGGAACAATTTGTAACGTCTATCATCTGAGTTTTACTGGGGCAAGATGGGTTGATGGCAACATACCAACAAATAAGGAAGACTGGGCTGCCGGTATGTTAAATTGAATCTGGAGAAATTTTGCCAGGAAGAAGCCAAAGGAGGCAGCTATCGCTAGATCGAAGATACTTCCTACCAACAGCGCCATGAACACGAAGTTGGTGACGAGTCGTTTGGATGCGACAAGAAAATCTAGCGGGAAGTAGGGGAAAACAAGTTTATAAGGATT